GTTGGGGGCAATATGCTGACTCTGTAAACCGCTTAGAGAGGGCTGAAAGCCCTATGAAGCGGTATATAAGTCTAACTGCTATTGCTATTGCTAAGCTGAGTCACCCACCAACTACCTTAGCCTTTTTCCTTCTATATTTTTTTCTTTTCAGGATGACAGTGGTGAGGCCCTGCCTCCCCTGACTGCACCTCCATGCCGCTTTACCAATGCTAAAATCTGGTCACTGAACACGGCGCGACTGACGATAGTTTGAGCAGGCGCGGCCAGCACTAACTACCGTCAGTCACCCCACGCTCATCAAAACAAGTCCGAGGAGATCCTTTGCGGGCGGCCAGTTCTAGCCGCCTGCAAAGGACATCCCCAGTTTCTGGAGTCTGTGACAGTAGAAATCACTGCGCGGCACTTGCAAACTGCTGTGCGGTGTTTTCTTGCCACGTGCAAGGCTGCGTGAAAAATCCGGACTTTTTAAAAATGCTACGGGATGCGGGACAAATTATTAAAAATTGGGACTGTCCCGCCAAAAGCTGGACGTCTGGTCACTAGTATAAACAGCTCTAATCAGACCAATGGCTTGTGTTTTTTTTTTCTCTTCTGCTTAAAATCTTTTCTTCAGTGTCCAGTTTCTAAAATTAGCACATTTTGTTTAACTTGTGATAGCTGGGATTGCCAAAAAAAAAGACTTGTTTCCCATGAGAAGCTGTTTATACTAAAGTGACCAGACGTCCTGGGCGGCAAATGTGGTGGTTCTGTTGGAGGCAGCGGCAGCAGTGGTAATGCAGTGCCCAGCTCAGGTGGTCCGAGCGGAGGGGGAGGCGGTGGCGCCGCTGCCATGTGCAGGTGCACCAGCGGGAGCTTTGGCGGCTTCACCTCAGCCGCAGTGCCGGGTGGCAAATGTGGTTCTGTTGGAGGCAGCGGCGGCAGGGGTAACGTGGTGCCCAGCTCAGGTGCTCTGAGTGGAGGGGCAGACAGTGCTGCCGCTGCCACGGATGGGGGCACCAGCAGGAGCTTTGGTGGCTTCACCTCAGCCGCAGCGCTGGGCGGCAAATGTGGTGGTTCTGTTGGAGGAGGAGGCGGCATATAGACCAAATTTTTAATCAAGAACCCCCCCCCCCAATCAATGGTGTCCCACTTTATCAATGTTAAAATCTGGTCACCTTAGTTTATACTTAAGTAAAATCAGGAAACCTATGTGTGATGCTAATATTAAATATCCATGGTTTATTTGGTCACCTTGATTAAAATTTGAATCTTTTGTTCATGTACCTGGTATTCTACATCACCTGTGGGCATATTATGTATACCTCAGGGGTGGGTTTCAACCGGTTCGCAGCGGTCCTCGCGAACCGGTTGGTCGGCAAACCCAGAAGTAAGTAACTTCCGAGAACGGCGAAGGGCCCACCTGCCCGTCCGCGCTCCTTACCGGTCTTTGAAGGCTTCTGCGCTTCCACGCAGGTGCATGGCACATACAGCGCCTGCGTGATTCTCCGCGAGTAGCTGGAGCATCGCGCAGGCGTTAAGACGCATGCGTGAACTGCGCGTGTGCACGAGGACGCCGCCGGCCCTGTTCCAACCAAACCGGTTGGAACGGGATTAGCAACCCACCCCTGGTAT